GTACACATGGTTTGGTAATGTGTCAACTACTTCTTAGTTAGTTTTCATTTGGCGCAAACCCTTTTTTTCGATTTTTTCAATTTTTTGCAAAATTTACACTGGGTGAACTCAGAAATGTAGGCCACTTACAGGCCTAAGATTTTGGTTTTCTCATTTTCTACCGAAAACAAGACTCCAACCAAATTTTCAGCCAATTCGGAGAGGGTCGATCCAATTCTTGGTCGATTTCGTGTGGAATCGTCGAACGAATGATTTTTCGATGCGAAAAGTGTGCACAATATGATTGTAATGTATAACAGGAATGTTTTTCTTGGGGCTGCTGCAGCAGCAGTAACAGTAGCGTGTGGCAAAACGAAAACAAAATATTTGGGAAAAATTGGTCGTGCGTTAATCCTACGAAGAAAAAAAAAGACGACGATGCCTACTTCCATCTTTTCTTCTTTTTCGTCTATCTCTTTCGCTCCAACAGTATCATGTGCATGTGAGATCATAAATGGCCATGAAAGTGAATATGCCTCAATTTCGATCCGGTCGTGCCTGACTGACTGCGATTTTAGCTGAAAATTTACCTGCCGAATCAAGAATTCGTCGTCACAGGCTATTAAAACTGAATAAAACACTCAGTGTTTCTTATTACATTTTTTTCCGCCTTGAATAATTGATTGCGAACAAAGAGAGTCACCAACAGAAGAGAGAGAGAAAAAAAACCTCGCATACATAAGAATGCCAAAAAGATTTGCCACAGATCGAATTCAATGCATGAATGTTTACGATGGATTAAATTTGCCAAATGGAAACCATTTTTTTCCTCAATAAATAATTAAAGAGAACAGCCATTTAGCATATATCACTTAGATTATCATTGTCGTTTTGATTCTGCGACTGAACATAAGCTCAGATTCAGCTTGGAAGAATGAAACTTATAAAAATAAAGCACTTTAGTGCAGATGGTAGACAAACCAAAATACCAATGCGGCCAAATGTTTGCTTCGCTTGAAAAATCCCTTTTATAGCTTCAAACATGAAACCAGCATATGGAAAAGTATGTGGCTATTGTTCGGAAGTACTTTAATTGATGACCAACATTTGAGGTTCATTTGATTGGACGTGATTAATACTTCAGATGTACATTTGGAAAATTAATTTTAAATGAATTGCCAATAAAAAAAATTCAATCCTTTTCAATGGAATTTGATTTTGTGTCAATTTCAAACAACACAAATTGACCACACTGTGCATTTTGAATTTGAAACCCCGGTTTAAATATTCATTCGTTCGCATTTAGTTAATAGGAAATTAATTTGTCAAAGTCAGTGAGACTCTCTATCGTTGTGAACTTTAAACTAAATGCCATCGATGAAATGTTGATGATAAGCTATATTTTCTTTCATTTCAGACATGCAAAATACATCATTTGTGTGGTGTGGGCAATAGCACTGCTGACAGCTCTTCCAATTCCGCTGGTGTCACGCTTGGGTCAACCGGAACAGTGGTACATACAATGCGACAAGTAAGCCTAATTATTTCTTCATCTATCCTTAAATATGATATCAACCCGTACAATTCTACAGCATGAAAATCACGTTTGCCCGAAACGCATTAATTAATATATAAATAGTGATATTTCAAAAGCTCTTTAAAAATGATTCTAAACCTTTCATGTCCAAATGTCAAGGTTCAACTGATGTGATCGCGTCATATGTGACAAAGGGAGAGTGCAAGAGGGAGAGAAAATGTAATAACAAACAACAAACAACAAAAGACTAAACACGTTCGCAACACTCACAATTTTCAACCGAATTCCATTTGAAGTTTCGATTGAATTTTCATTATTAATTAGCAATCAGTGATGAGCTACATCGTTTGAACAGATCATAACAATGGGCGCATGTAGCGGGCAATGTCTAAGCTGTTAACATAAACAAAACGGACGCTTCGTCATCCGTTGATATGAGAGCCGCTGTACGGCTCTTTTATTTTGTGCAATGAATAAATCAAAATACAAGCTGCCCATGAATTAGTGGAACAATAAAATAAAATACACATCAGGAAATTGGACCTGATGCCGTGTAACGATTGTGCACAACAACGCTGACACTCTCCACAATTGCCCGAATACAACCCATACACACATACTCAAGACTTTCGATGCCTCTGTATTCTTTTATTCTCCTTCTTTCTGGGAAAATGATTCGGTTTATTGTTAGTTTTGCACAACTAGTGTTGCGTGTTGAATTACACAACAAAAGCGACAGCGAATCTTCGTTCAAATTTGCTGGTAATTCGTCACGTCTCTCGCAAACAGCCTGTAATTTTAGTAGTTGAGCTGCTGCTGCTGTTGCTGTTGTTTTTTTTCTCTCTCGGTATTTTCGACTTGATGCTTCATCGTGGAACCACTAATTTGGCATGTTGATTTGGTCTGTTAGCCATTTATGGCTAGAGCACCGGTCATGAATGTGTGTAATTAATCTCTGCACATGCAATGTACTCATAACATTTGCTGCAGAAAGAGTGTGTGCGGCGGATTTATTAACAGCACAGAATTTATTGGGAGCAAAATGCGTGTAAGAGTATGGCGGTGATGTAGGCTTTTGACTGCTTATGGACACACTGCTTTGTTTTTGTGTGTGCATTTTTGCCCAGCATGAATGCACACAGAAATATGGTCATGATATCACTATAATATGCATTAATTACATTTTTGATATTTTCATTTCATTGTGTGAACGTGTGATGGGTCATATACCGTTTTCGATTACTTTTTTTCCATTATCAACACACGCACATACGCATTTTTTTTCTCCAAAATGGATGCAAACCAATTTTCGGCTTTAATTACTTCGTTTTTTATTTCATTGTATTTATTCCAGATACGTGTGCGAAGAACATTGGCCGAAGCCACTGTATAATTATTATTATACAATTGCCTTACTAGTTTTACAATTTGTCATTCCATTGTTGGTGCTAATATTCACGTACACTCGGATTGCATTTGCCGTATGGGGTAAAAAGCCGCCCGGAGAAGCGGAAAATTCACGCGATCAACGTATGGCCAAATCCAAACGAAAGGTAAACTATATCGGCTACTAATAACCATTACACATGCAGAATATTCATTCTGTTTATATTATTTAAACGACGTGAGTGTGTGAAAATCGGTTGTGAAAAACGGATTTCAGCGCTGTGGCTTCATTTGCATCGCATATTTGGTTTTTTTTCTTTCTGGACACTTCGATATACACATATCCAATGTTCTTGGGGAAAATTTCATTACAACTTATACAAACATGTTTATTTTTCCTCTCTCTCTCTCACTTGCTGTGAAATTCAAACATAAGATCTAAAGTGAAGAGACTCCGACCGATCAAATCAACATTTTTTTTCATTTTTATGCTTTCTGTACTGAAAATCAGACGGACAAAAAAATATATAAATTGTTCAACTTGTACAAACAGATGCGCATTTTTGCGTTGATTTCATTGATAACAGCATAAAGGAAAACGTTTTCACAACCAAAGAATAAATCTGCATCTATTTAAGATGGTTTCAGCCATTTCAAATAAGATTACATCGAAATATTTCATCTCCTTTAAATGTTGTTTGTAGAACACATAGTGGAACAGCGTTGTATTGTTATGTTTAAAATCATTTCACTCGGTTTTTTTTTGTTGTTGTTGCTTTCATCGAAAAAGAAAAACAGAATGAAATTGCCGGAACAAAATGGCCGATCGTAAGTGATTCAAAAGTCATAGTTTCTTTCTACTACGAGCTATGATATCTTCAGTAGCATTGATGGTTATTGGCAATCAATGTTAAACAAGCGAAAGTAACGCATTTTTTGGTTGGAAGCATTTTGATATGCTCTTCTCATCAGATACAGCATAATTTTTATATGAAAATGGTAATTTCAGTGCATGAGGCACCGTCTGCGTAGTGAATGGCAAACGGGATAAGAATGTAAAATAAGACCCGGTAGAGCTTATTGGCATTTGATTTCGAAAGCAAACATATGTAAAATTGACGTCATAACATAAAAGTACGCATATAGATTGTTATAAGTTGAATTCGATACATGGTTGCTAGGATATTAATAATTGATAAAATGTTGTCGGCAACAAACTGGTTGCTATTGCTTCAAAGATGTGAAGCCGTTAAAATATTCCATAAAAATGCTCTCCCAAATAGTGTCTCGTGGAATCGAGAGTGTAACCTGCAATTCCAACACAATTTAGTTTGATGCAGCATGAGCGTTTGAGGTGTCATTCTCACTTTCGCTGTCGATAAGCACTTCTTTTACACTGAAGCAGCGGAAAAAAGCGGTGGCATTGTGTCGCGTGTTTTGTAATCCACTTTAAATTGTTTAGCCAACGTGGCTTGAATAGGCAATTAGCTTGGACACCTCGAGCAAAGTTGACAAGGCAATCGATTAGTATTATTGCTTTATTTGGGTGCAAAAAGCCTTACGGTCGTCACAATTACCAATTGTGTTGCGTGTGTTTACTTTTCTTCATTGCATATAAATTTAGCAGCACAGAGGAACATGTGAAAGCCCCTTTCTATCGCCCATTCTTTCTTGCTTTCTACTTCTTCTTTTTTTTATATCACAAATGGAGGTTTAGTAACTATAGAACGGCCCTGCGGATAGTCAATATTAAAAGAGCACATATACACGCACATGGATTACATTGGAGAGTGAAGGGAAGGAAGCGTTGAGATTAAAAACAGGAAGAAAAAGCAATTTCATTCCCTTGATCCGGCAATAGTATAAATAGTAGCAGGAAAAAAAATCGAAGTATCGGAGAATAGAAAAAGAGAGTAGCGTGCCGAGCATTCTTTCGGTGTGTTATGTAGAAGGGAAAATGGCGATGAACCCCAATTTATAAATTTCTTACGAAACTGTACACAAAATGATTTAATGGAGTGATTTCAGATAATGGTGACTCCCATTCTCGTCTTCTAATCTTTGATGGCGAAAACACAACACAATGTGATAAAAAGTGTCTGTACTGGCTTCTTGGAGCTTCTCCGTTTTTCTTCTTCTTTTTTGTTTCTTTTGACATGAAAACAATATCTGTTTTGGGAGCAAGAGAAAAGCAGCGATGTGCACATTTGTTACATCGGGTATAGCTCAATATTTTGTTGTTTAAGATGGTCTGGTGTTAATGCACGATATATGTGACGTTTTCAATGTGTAGTATGAAAATTTATGTTGTGCGGTTTTATTTTTTTAACAAACAACTAAAAAAATACATACAACATGCACATATCGACTAACTAATCTACTTAACAAGTCGTGTGTATTTCGCTGCTCGTTTCATAGTTCGTTGCCGCTCAACAGGAGCAAAAAACTAAACACAAAAGCCAAAACGATTCTACGTTGTGCCAAGAAAAAAAAGGGAAAAGAAACAATGAACAACTTTTATATTGTAAAAGATTGCAAAATATGTATTAAGTTAACGTTAGTGACGTTGATTGAATATGTGCAAATTGTTTTTTTTTTGGTGACGCTTTTAACCGAACAAATAAACCGGGTGAAGCGTATTCCAGAAGTGTCCCACGCGCACAGCTGCATGAAATATTAGGAGCGTTTGTTGTTAACAGTTATTTGACACCCGGGCCAAAAGGATATGAGAAGCCACCTGAGAAATGACTGCAAATATAAATTGGGACAACGTAAAAAAGGAACGAAACATGACTCACACCCTCGTTGTAAGCGAAAAACCACGCACGTCGAGAAAGAAAGAGGAAGAAAGTGACAGAGAAAGTGGGGAAAGAAAAAACCGAACCGTTAAAATGAAATGAATCTTTAGATGTTTCTTTGACGAAGGTGACCATAAGTAAGGCTTGGTGCCCACGAAATCAAAAAGCATTGATACCGGAGCACATCAATCACTTTCTAGCCACGGAAATGTACCGGTTTCATAGAGGAATAAAAGTGAATGCTTTACCTCATGTATTTTGTTCCATATCGCCGCCCAGTTTCGAATATAATTTGAACAATTCCATTGTGGATACATCACTTTTTTTTATCAATTTAATGTGTACCATCATCATCATAATAGAAACAATAACAGTAGGTAAAAGTAAATAGAAAAGCCTAAAATGTATGGGTGCTTCGATTTGCTTCACAGCCGGACGAAGCGCCTCATTTTTTGCGAGGGAAAATCGACTAAAGGTCGTATCTAAATGTATTTTTAATGTGCTCTCATTGTTGGAAAATTTAATTTAAATACTCTTCGCATCTATTTCATTTAATTGTAAACAATAGCAAAATTGTTGATGAATAGTTGAATTTGGCAATTAATTCCGATGAACAGATGTGATTGTAGACACATCCCATTCGAATGTTTTAATCATGTGTTTTCTGTCGAACGTTCTATGCGCGCATACACACACATTCCCTCCATTACCTTCGAAACATCTCAGAAAATGAGCGACGGCGACGACGGCAGCAATGGATATAACATCCATCCCATATATCATGTGATATGGAAAATTTTAAGTGAATTTATGGGCTGGGAATTTGATGTTTAAGCAAATATATATGCTCGAAAAACGCAAAATCATTCTCTGCTCGCAATGTAATTAGAAGTTGATGGAATTTAACTCTCATCTCATGAGATTATTTAATTACTCAACCTGAATGCTGCCGCCGTCGCTACTGACACAAATACATAAACACATACGAACTCATACGCACTCATATGGCAAATTTAATGACGAAAATAAGAAGAAGAAAAAGAAGAAAAAAATCGACATACGCGGCAGAAAACTTCATCAGGCAACGAAACATTACACATAACTAAAGTTATAATGAGTATAATGACTAATCTATAATAAAAAATGTACATTCCGTCCGATTAGTGTTAATCGGCTTTTTACTTTTTAATGGTTCAGCGAATGTTGTTATTGGTTTTCTTTTTCTTCGCATTTTGAAAATCGTAAATCATCAGAAAATCGAGGACGAATTCAAAATTCGGCCAAGAGAGAGAGAGAGAGAGAGAGGGAGAGAGAGAGGGAGAGAGAGAGGGAGAGAGAGAGGGAGAGAGAGAGCGAGAGAAAGATCTCAAGTTGAAAATTTAATTCAATTAGATTATATACACTGTATTACACACTTGAATGAGCACTTTTGATACACGATAATTACTATTTCCCAATTTTTATTTTCCAACTCGTGTCGGCCTCACACTTGTGATGAAAATCGTAACACTGCGCTCATGTTCGGGATTACTCTCCTCTGCTCGCCATCGGAGCCGCAGCACCACACACACATACATAATCTTCGATAAAACCCATTGCTGAATCAATAATTTTGATTATTAGCCATCGAACGTCAATATCGTTAATAAATTATTTACTGTGCGAGAGACTTTTTACGACCATCGATCTTCAGTAAAGTCGTTAACTGATGCAGTTAGATTGGTTCTCTCACTCTCTCTCGTTCGCCCTTTCACTCGGTTGCTGTGTTTATGTGGCTGTGAAAATGAATGTTTAATAAACATTGTTTATGTCAATCGATAGACTCTATCTCACCCAAGGATGAACCATGATCAAATTAGTTTAAGAAAAAAAACCTTTTCCATTTTGGTCCACATCCACTTGTCGCCTTTACACATGATACTCTTTTAATGTCGCCGAGAAAAATAAAGAAACACAGAGAAAAAAGTCGAACAAAGTCGATTTTTGTCACGCATCAAATTCTTTGATCAGATTCGAGCGAACGAACAAGACGAAATGGGGAGTGAAAATAAGGAAAGATTTTGGTCACTTGTTCGATTAGCAAAAGGTTCATTTCATACTACATGATTCGAATGGGAAAAGAAATCGAATCGATTGAAGTCTCCATCCGTTTGATCTCATGACGAAATTCGTCTCGGTTTTTCGATTGTCTCTCAACTCTTCGAAGCATGTCAAAGGTAAGGAATGTCGTCTTGGTCAAAGTTTTCAATGTTAACGAAACTTGGATATATCCTCCAAAATGCCTTTCCATTTTCTCTGGCTTTGGGTCCATGGAAAAAAGGGTGCATTTCACAATAAAGTCGTATTGAGACTTTTTTTTGTCAGCAGAC